CTTGTCATATGCAATTGCTGCATATGACAAACATAATGATATACTGATATATCACCATGTCTGAAATAAGGATGGAGATATGTAGAGGCATTAACTGGCCTCACAGATTTTCCTACATTGTGGTTTTTGCATAACACACACACACACACACACACACACACACACACACATCATGATTCGTGTGTGTGTTTCTTTGTGGCTGATTAGCTGCTCTCCCTGTGCAAAGGTCAGAGGGGGCAGGGTTTCTGTTGAGGCAGGTGATTAGCTGTGGGAGGAGCTTATCAGAGCTTGCAGGGCAGCAGTTGAAGAAGGAGCAAAAAGGGTTTTCTTGTGTGTGTGTTTCTTTGTGGCTGATTAGCTGCTCTCCCTGTGCAAAGGTCAGAGGGGGCAGGGTTTCTGTTGAGGCAGGTGATTAGCTGTGGGAGGAGCTTATCAGAGCTTGCAGGGCAGTTTGATCCATCTTTTATTTCAAGAGGTGGCAGAGATATATTTCTAGATTTGTCTGGCAGGGCAAGAAGCCCAGAATAAAATTTAAAATACTAACAGATGCAAAGGATAGAGGTGGATTTGCCCTGCCAGACCTTAAACTTTACTATGAATCAGCAGCTTTCTGCTGGTTGAAAGAATGGCTGCTTCTTGAAAACACTGACATTTTGGATCTAGAAGGTTTTAATAATGTGTTTGGATGGCATGCATATCTGTGGTATGACAAGGTCAAAGCGCATAAAGCATTTAAAAACCATATTGTCAGGAAAGCATTGTTTAATGTTTGGCTAAGATACAAGGATTTACTGGAAAACAAAACTCCAAGGTGGCTGTCACCAATGGAAGCGAAAGCCTTGAAAAAGTTCAATATGGAGGTCAAATGGCCAAAATATTGGGAAATTTTGGAACAAGATGGAGACAGATTGAAATTGCAGAGTTTTGAAAAACTAAAAACAAAGTGCGAGACTGGCTTCATTATTATCAGATAATGGAGGCATACAATTTGGACAAGAAAATTGGCTTCCAGGTAGAAAAATCAAAATTAGAAACAGAACTGTTAGAATCCAAAACTAAGAATTTGTCAAGAATGTATAACTTGCTGTTGAAATGGAATACTCAGGATGAAACGGTGAAATCTGCTATGATTAAATGGGCACAAGATGTTGGACATAACATTATGTTCGCTGACTGGGAACAGTTATGGACCACAGGTATGAAGTTTACGGCATGTAATGCCCTAAGAGAGAATATTATGAAAATGATATACAGGTGGTACATAACCCCAGTCAAGCTTGCAAAAATCTACCAGTTGCCTGATAATAAATGTTGGAAATGTAAAGAAACTGAAGGTACATTTTTTCACCTTTGGTGGACGTGCCCAAAGATTAAGGCTTTCTGGGAGATGATCTATAACGAATTGAAAAAGGTATTAAAATATACCTTCTTGAAGAAACCAGAGGCCTTTCTCCTGGGCATAGTCGGCCAATCGGTGTTAAAAAAGGATAGAACTTTCTTTATGTATGCTACAACAGCAGCAAGAATACTTATCGCAAAGTACTGGAAGACACAAGTTACCCACACTGGAGGAATGGCAGATGAAAACGATGGACTACATGGAATTGGCGGAAATGACTGGCAGAATCCGTGACCAGGGAGAAGAGTCGGTGGAAGAAGATTGGAAGAAATTCAAAGATTATTTACAGAAACATTGCAAAATTAATGAATGTTGGAATGATGTTGGATTGAAGTTAAATGGCTTCTAGCTGTATAGGTTTTAAAGCTATAAATATATTAAGATTAAGGATTAGGATTAGGATTAAAAAAGTTAAAAGAATGGAAAAATTGGTTTCAAATAGGTAAAAATCTAATGTCATAATATATTAAGATTAAGGATTGGGATTAAAAAGGAAAGAAATTGCTGGATTAACAACCGGAATTGAAATACAAAAGAGGGAGGTATGAGGAAGTCCGGGAAACAAGTAAATGAAAAAGAAGTTATGAAAAGACGGAATTGTTTTTAACTGTTTATTTTTCTTTTTTTATCTTTTTGTATTTTGTAATTTCTATTGTGTATTTTTCTTTTTTCTTTTCAAATTTCTCTTGTTTATTAATGTGATTTTATTTTTTCTGAAACTTTAATAAATATTAATTAAAAAAAAAAGTTTGATCCATCTTTTAGATTTAGGGGAGCTAGTCTCAAACGTTTGTTGGGGGAGACCTAGGTTTTTTTGTGGGGGGAGTTATTTGTCCTGTCTTCGCGCTTTTTATGATGGAGGACCGCTGTAGCCACCCCCAACGACACGTTCTCAAGATGGAGGGGGAGGGAACAGCTGCAGTCGCCTGCGGTTCCTGTGCAATGTCTGCCATCTTGCCAAAGGTTGCAGGCAGCTTTACCTGCAGCAATTGCATGTTGATTGCCCTCTTAAAAGACAAAGTCCAGCAACTGGAGGAACGTGTAGCTACGCTCCAAAGAATTAGAGAGCTGGAGCTCTTCTTGTAAGCAACAGAGCACACCATCTCCACCAAGGAGGAGACAGGGGACTCCCCTGAGAAGGACACTAGTTCACCAAGACAGGAGCCAGATATATGGAGAAACGTGACTCAAAGAAGTAGGAGGCCCAGGGTTCGCTCTGATTGTTTAGAAATACACAATCGCTTTGAGGTCCTCTCCCCTAGCATGGAAGACGAAGAGCAGACTCCATTTGAGGATCTCTCCCTCATTACAGTCGATCAGGTATATGAAGACGAGCAGCAAAGTCAGTCCTCAGGGAATGTGCAGGCGACCTTGGAACGGACAGCTCACGGAAGAACCCTGACCAAACCTAAGAGGAGGCGTGTAGTGGTGATAGGGGATTCCCTACTGAGGGAACAGAAGCAGTGATCTGTGGGCCTGACAAGATGTCTCGGGAAGTGTGCTGTCTCCCAGGGCTAAGATCCAAGATGTAACTGAACGACTGCAAGGAATCATAAAACCCACTGACAAATACCCCTTCCTCTTGGTTCATGTGGAACCAATGACACTGCAAGCAATAGCCTCCAGAAGATCAAAAGAGACTACGAGGCTCTGGGCAGGAAATTGAAGCAATTAAATGCACAAATTGTCATCTCATCTGTCCTCCCAGTTGAACGACGTGGCCCAGGGAGAGAGGGGAAAATAGTGGAAGTGAACAGCTGGCTTCGCAAACGGTGTAAACAGGAACGGTTTGGATTCTTAGATCACGGACTGCAGTTTCTTGAAGATGGACTTCTGGCAAGCGATGGGCTGCACCTCACAACGGTTGGGAGAAATGTTTTTGCCAAAAATCTCAGAAACCTCATCAGGAGGGCTTTAAACTGACTAATGTGGGGGAGGGAGACAGTGCTCCTGAAGGTAGGAGTCTATCAATTGATGAAGATGATCATCCAAATGTCATAGACCAAATGGAGCAAACAGCACGCAGACCTAGTGGTGGGAGGAAAAAATCCTTAAATAAGAGGCACAGGGGAATGATTAATGGACTTCAATGTCTGTAGACTAATGTGCAAAGCATGGGAAATAAACAAGATGAGCTTGAGCTCTTGGTACAGCAAACTAAATATGACATAATAGGCATCACTGAAACCTGGTGGGATAAGTCCCATGATTGGAATGTAATAATGGGGGGATACAATCTATTTCAGAGAAACAGACCAGACAAGAAAGGAGGAGGAGTGGCGTTATATGTCAGGGATGTGTATACCTGTGAAGAGATCCAAGATTTAGAACCTCAAAGCCAAAGTGAGAGCATTTGGGTCAAAATTAAGGGAGAGAAGAATAACAGTGACCTCATTGTGGGAGTTTACTATAGATCCCCAAGCCAAACGGAGGACATAGATGATGCCTTCCTGGAACAGATGGCCAAGCATGCAAAAGGAAGGGAGATAGTAGTAATGGGGACTTCAATTACCCGGATATTTGTTGGATGTCAAACTCAGCCAAGAGCGTAAGGTCAAACAGATTCCTCACTGGCCTTGCAGACAACTTCATTGTCCAGAAAGTGGGAGAAGCAACAAGAGGAACAGCCATTTTAGATCTGGTCCTAACCAATGTTGATGACCTGGTTAGTGGGGTAGAAGTGGAAGGATCATTAGGCGCGAGTGATCATGCTCTTCTGAAGTTTACTATACAGCGGAAAGGAGCAGCCAAGCATACTAGGACTCAATTTCTTGACTTTAAGAAAGCCGACTTCATAAAACTTAGGGAAGTGCTGGGTGAGATCCCATGGACAGTAATACTAAAAGGAAAGGGAGTTCATGATGGCTGGGAGTTTGTTAAGAGGGAGATAGTAAAAGCACAACGTCAGGCAATACCAATGAGACGGAAACATGGAAGGTGCCTAAAGAAGCCAGGGTGGCTATCTAAAGAACTTTTAACTGAGTTAAGATTAAAAAGGATGTGTACAAAAAATGGAAAAGGGGGGAAACCACCAAAGAGGAATTCAAACAAATAGCCAGCACGTGTAGACACAAAGTCAGAAAAGCTAAAGCACAGAATGAACTCAGGCTTGCTAGAGAGGTTAAAAGCAACAAAAAGGCTTTTATGGGTATGTTCAGTAGCAGAAGGAAGAACAAAGAAACAGTGGGGTCACTCAGAGGAGAAGATGGTGAAATGCAAACAGGGGACACAGAAAGGGCTGAACTCCTCAATGCCTTCTTTGCCTCAGTCTTCTCCGATAAAGAAAACAATGCCCGACCTGAAGAATTTGGAGCAAATGATTCAGCAGAGGAAACACAGCCCAGAATAACTAAGGAGATAGTACAAGAATACTTGGCTAGTTTAGATGTATTCAAGTCTCCAGGGCCAGATGAACTGCATCCAAGAGTATTAAAAGAACTGGCAGATGTGATCTCAGAACCACTGGCAGTCATCTTTGAGAATTCCTGGAGAGCAGGCGAAGTCCCGGCAGACTGGAGGAGGGCAAATGTTGTCCCTATTTTCAAAAAGGGGAAAAGAGAGGACCCAAATAATTACCGCCCAGTCAGTCTGACATCAATACCAGGGAAGATTCTGGAGCAGATCATTAAGCAAACAGTCTGTGAGCGCCTAGAAAGGAATGCTGTGATCACCAATAGTCAGCATGGATTTCTGAAAAATAAGTCATGTCAAACTAACCTGATCTCGTTTTTTGACAGAATTACAAGCCTGGTAGATGAAGGGAACGCAGTGGATGTAGCCTACCTTGATTTCAGCAAGGCATTTGACAAGGTGCCCCATGATATTCTTGTAAAGAAGCGGTAAAATGCGGTCTTGACTATGCTACCTCTCAGTGGATTTGTAACTGGCTGACTGACCGAACCCAAAGGGTGCTCATCAATGGTTCCTCTTCATCCTGGAGAAGAGTGACTAGTGGGGTGCCACAGGGTTCTGTCTTGGGCGCGGTCTTATTCAACATCTTTATCAACGACTTGCATGATGGACTCAAGGGCATCCTGATCAAATTTGCAGATGACACCAAACTGGGAGGGGTGGCTAACACCCCAGAGGACAGGATCACACTTCAACACGACCTTGACAGATTAGAGAACTGGGCCAAAACAAACAAGATGAATTTTAACAGGGAGAAATGTAAAGTATTGCACTTGGGCAAAAAAGATGATGGGTGACACCTGGCTTGAGAGCAGTACATGTGAAAAGGATCTAGGAGTCTTGGTTGACCACAAACTTGACATGAGCCAACAGTGTGACGCGGCATCTAGATCAAGGGAAGTAATAGTGCCACTGTATTCTGCTCTGGTCAGACCTCACCTGGAGTACTGTGTCCAGTTCTGGGCACCACAGTTCAAGAAGGACACTGACAAACTGGAACGTGTCCAGAGGAGGGCAACAAAAATGGTCAAAGGCCTGGAAACGATGCCTTATGAGGAACGGCTAAGGGAGCTGGGCATGTTTAGCCTGGAGAAGAGGAGGTTAAGGGGTGATATGATAGCCATGTTCAAATATATCAAAGGATGTCACATAGAGGAGGGAGAAAGGTTGTTTTCTGCTGCTCCAGAGAAGCGGACACGGAGCAATGGATCCAAACTATAAGAAAGAAGATTCCACCTAAACATTAGGAAGAACTTCCTGACAGTAAGAGCTGTTCGACAGTGGAATTTGCTGCCAAGGAGTGTGGTGGAGTCTCCTTCTTTGGAGGTCTTTAAGCAGAGGCTTGACAACCATATGTCAGTAGTGCTCTGATGGTGTTTCCTGCTTGGCAGGGGGTTGGACTCGATGGCCCTTGTGGTCTCTTCCAACTCTATGATTCTATGATTCTATATGGCAAATGCCTGCTCTTGTTATTTTGGTCCCACTTTTGTTGTGCTATGGGGCAAAAGTAACTGCTAGACAGCAATCAGGAAAGCATCGCAGAACAACTTACAAAGCAGGAAAAGTTCGGATGGTCCAGTACAAATCAGTGCCGGATTTGGGCAGTGTGGGTGGTTCCCCTGCAGAGAGCCCTGAGCCAAGCGGATACATAATACTATTGAGAAGAACCATTAAAAGGTAAGTGTACCAAAAGGATTTTTTGTGAAATAAGAAAGAGGTGCATGTGCCAAATTTTGTCCTTGCTCAGGCACCATATTACCAAAGTCCGGCATGATGCATAAAACACTTGCATCAAAACACCATGTCCTGAGAGGCCCATGGGACTCACCAGAAAAGAACCATGCCATGAGACTAAATCCAGTGGGACAAGCCAAACTCTGTGGGAAGATGGTAAGAAAATCACAGAATGATAGAACTGTAGAGCTGGTAGGGACTGTGCCAGGATTGCAGGAATTTTTCACCCAAAGCGGGGCTCAAACTCACAACCCTGAGATTAAGAGTCTCATGCTCTACCAACTGAGCTATCCCACATACATATAATACAGGGAGGAGCACACAAGATGAAGATTACATTGAATAAAGATTTGACTTTTTGGAAACACCCACTTCAAAACTCCAGGTACAGCGAGACAGAGAAGCGGGAGACAGAGTCTCCTTGTCTACACAGTACAGGATGTTCCTGATCCTCTGCCTACTGTTCTCGGAAACAGCCGGCGGCGGCAGGCATGGTCTGTGCCACATATGCCGCACCTTTCAGCAACCGGACAGGCCTGTCACTTCTTCCCAGGCTGAGCTGCTCCTGAGCCAAGGCCAGCTATCCCCCCGCCCCACCCCCAAACAGGAAGGACTAATTGCAGGCTCAGGGCCATGGGCCTGAGTTTTCAATACACGTTGTGTACCCTACTCTCCTTTCACATACTGGCTTGATGTCCAGTGGCACAAGGAGTTCCTCCAAGTCTCTTCCCATTGCAAGCAAAATGGCCACATATCCAGCTTTGCAGAGGACAGTTCTCTCTCTCTCTTTAATGGGCTCTGGGAGGACAGCCTGCCCTAAGTCTGATTTAAGCATAAGGGAGCATAAGAAAGGAGAGCAGCAGGAGCCTTGAAGATGCTCTTTGACAGCGTTGCAGCACCCGGACAGCACACTGAGCAACAGCACAAGTCACTGGTACCTTCCCCACTATGGGAAGAGGTATTTCTATTACATTCATAGTAATCGTTTCTAAACTTGGATCTATACATATCAATTACTGTACGCAAATTTCATGCGCATGTTGGCGTCCCAAACTCAGAGCAAATTCAGACAGCAAAATGTGCCAATAGCATTTCCACACTATTCATGAGTCAGGAATCATTTCCACAATGAAGGGGAAGGGGTCTGG